TTATGATGATGCTTTTCATGCTATCATCAGAAATGGTTTCCCCCCTTTGTATGAGTTCTGCCCTGGTGGTGTTTAGCTTGAGTATATGCTCCCCCATGGGTGTCCCTGCCTTATGCCTGGCTGAGTAAAATTCCCTGGATATTTTGGTTGTAGTGGCTGCACTCTTACTGTAAAATAAATTAAGTATTTTTTGTAGTATCTCTGCCACGGTTAAGTGGCGGCCAAGACTGGGGTAAATGCTGGGTGACAAGCTAGACATTAACAGATAGTAAGCCCTGTGGTGCAAACAGTCAATCTCAAAAGTCCATGGCTTCTTGGGTGGGTCATCAAATAAGTACAACATATTTTCTTTCAGAAAAGCAATTTGTAGTTGGTGGTTCCACTCCAAAAGATTGGACCCATCTAATTTCAATTTGTGATTGTCAGCAGTAAAAGTTATGTTACTTACAGTCTGGTGCTGTCCATGGTTCTTTATGTGAGTGAACTCGCAATATGCTGGGGGAATGCTTGTTGCCAGTCTGAACTGACTTATCTCTATGTTCCTTGTACTTATCTCTATGTTCCTTTCTCTTCCTGTAGGTGGGGACTGGGCATGCGCGAGGCTCATTTCGCGCCGGAGGTCGTCTGGTGAGGAGCTCCTTGTTGCTGCTCTCAGGCCTAGGCCTAGGCCTGCCGGTGGGGGGCTGGGCTCGCTCCTGACGGGCCCATAGCCCTCCCTGGACGTCAGATGCCATGGCTGGGCCCCTGCATCTTGGGCGAAGAGTGGAAGAAGGCGAGGAGGCGAGGCGGCCGCAGGTCGAGGATCCCTGGAGACGGCGGCGGTGGCGGCGGTCGTAAGTCGAGGATCTCCCGGATTCGGCGGCGCAGCAGCGGCGGCGGCGGTGGATCCTGGACGATGTTGGAGGGCCTCCAGATGGGTCAGGAAGCCTGGTGGAGGCCGCATGATTGGTGAGTTGTTGTTTCTTCTCCTCATTCCGCGGCCTAGGGAAGTTGGTGCGGCGGGTGGCGAGTGCAAATCCTGAGGGTATTCAGTCCTGCAGGCGGCCGGGTCTTGGGTGTAGTTTTTGGGGTGCGTTGTCCCGCGTGGTGTCTGCAGGTGTGCTGCAAGGGTTCCGGTGGCTACCCTGCTGCTCTTTTGGGGGTGCTGAGCGTCGGTTTGTTTCTTCCTGGCTCCTGGGGGCTTGAGTGTTGAGCCGAGTGCTGCGGCCAGGTTTCGGATTGATTCGTCTGCTTCGGGCTCGATGGGTGAGCCCCTGCAGGCTTGCGATCTTGCTTGGGTGTTGTTTTTGGGCTCTTCCCCAGCAAAGTTGGGGTTCTCGCTGTTTCCCGCCATTCGATTTGAATCTCGGCTTCCCATTGGCTGTTGGCCATTCCAAGATGGCCGCCGAGAGCATGGCGCGGAAATGAAATCCTCTACGTCCAGGGCTTCAGCTTGGGGATACCTTCCTCTTGCCGGGCTGGGGATTTCTTTTCTCTGTTGCTGGATGCTCATCGTTGCTCCATTGCTTTCGAGTAGGCTTTGGAGTTTCGCGATGAGCTCCTCTTTGCTGGCAGTCGCTTCCATCATCTCCAGGATGGTGGATCGGAATTCTTCGTTGCTTGGTGGCCCTGCCCTTTCGCAGTAGTAGATTTCTTCTCTTGGCCCTTCGTCCCTGGGTTGTGGACTCGGGTTGTAGTCTCCATCACTTTCTGTTGTGGTGGTCCTTGCTGTGGCACCTTATAGAGCCTGCAATTCTTTCATCTGCTTGATGTAGGCTCTGGTGGCCATTCTTTTCTCTGCCTCTGTCTGGGTTCTTGATTCTGCCATCTCTGTGAGTTGTGGGTAAACCATCCTCTGCTACCAACCTGTGACTGATTTCTAGGATCTTACCCAATAACTCCAAACACAGGATGCAGTGAGCCAATGCTCTTTATTGATCAATGTTTCTTTTACAGCTATTTGGCTGGAAGTGGCCCCTGGACTCCTGGACCATGTCTTAAGTACCTGGGAGGCGGAGCTAAGGTAAGGAGGGGTCAGGGGAGGATCTAGGTGGATGTAGAGTTAACCCTTATCATACCTGGGATGGTGAATGGTGGGCATTTATACATAACAAATGGTTACATGGAGCTCCAGAATGTATAATTTCAGATAGAGGAGTTCAATTTACCTCCCATTTTTGGAAGGAGGTCCTAGGGTTGATAGGCTCCGCACAAGGGTTAAGCTCCGCCCACCACCCCCAAACTAATAGGGCTTGTGAGAGAACCAATTCTGTTTTAGAACAATATCTGAGATGTTACATAAATTATCAGCAAGATAACTGGGCAGATTTACTGCCATTTGCAGAGGTGGCCTATAATAACTCCATACATAGCAGCACAGAGTTTACCCCTTTCAAGGTGGCTTCTGGCCAAGATTTTGTACCCATTCCAGAGTTGCCTCAGGAAAACCCACGAAACCCCTCCTTGGTTGATTGGATCGAACAGTTACGTGCCACTTGGTCTGTAACTCGCAAGGCACTGGATGAAGCACATCGGGCTCATAAGGCCCAAGCTGATAAGAAGAGGGTTCAAGCACGGACTTATAAAGTTGGTGATATGGTTTACCTCTCCACCAAATACTTGCAAACTACCCAAAAGTCTAAAAAGCTTGGACCCAAGTATGTGGGTCCTTTTCCGGTAGTTCGGATCATTAATCCAATCACAGTACAATTGGAGTTACCAACAAATTTGAAGCGAATTCATCTGGTGTTTCATATAAGTTTGCTAAAACTGGAGCATTTGTCCCTTTTACATCCAGACCAAGAACCTCCTCCTGTCCCCATACTAATCGAGGGGGAACAGCATTTTGAGGTCAAAGAGATCTTAGACTCTAGAAAGCATCGGGGTAAGGTGCAGTATTTGGAGGCCTGGAAACGTTTCCCATTATCTAAGGCTGAATGGGTGAATAAACGAGATGTTTGAGCTCCTAAGAAAGTACAACTGTTTCACTCCAAATATCCTGATAAACCGTAATCTGTTTTTTATGTCATGCTCTATTTCTGTGATCATCTGTTTTATGTCATTTTGGTTTCTTGTAGGAATAATGCCTCTTCTGCAGGAGGGCCGAATGTCAGCCTCCGCTTTCTTGCTCATTGCTTACTTGCTCAGCTGCCATGAAACGGGGGGAGGAGGGAGCTATTGGAATTCTTGGGAGGGGGGAAGCAAATTGGAGGAGAAATGGAAGTAAAACTTTGCTGCAGCAATTTTCTTTGAAGCTGGCTGATAATGTCTCCAGGTCAAGGGTCATGGCATAGCAAGAGGATGACACTGCCAGTCGTTTGCTCCCACATGACCCCCTGGAGAACCTGTGGATTGGATGATTTACGATGGACACTTGGGGGAGATGCTTTCTGTGATTTTCGCGCCTTTGCTTCAGACCTTGCTTTTCTTTGACTGCATTCAGTTCTTATCCAGGAAAAGTTACCTTTCTCTATGAAAATGGAGTCGGGGGTTTTCTTTCTTGGATAATGAAAGGAGGCCGTCCTGACACCATCCTATTGGTCAATTGTTAGATCATTACTAAAATGTTTATTAGATTCTTTGTTTTATATATCCCGCCTTCCACTTCAGTGAAAACGCATAAAGCTTTCTTAATTCTACTGTTTGAGGTTCCTTGGTATTTTTGGCTAGGACCCTTTTCTTGGGGCACTTCAATAAAAGGAAAGAAAAGCTGCACCTCGTCTCTGATGTTCTTCATTGGCTTTGGCATCAGGCTCAGAGCCAAATTGGGAACACAGTGTCTTAGCCACTAGACCAGGGCCGGATTTTCCTATAGGCTAACTAGGCTTCAGCCTAGGGCCTCAAGATCAAGAAGGGCCTACATTCAAATTGTTAGCAAAATTAAAATTACACTTTCACTATAGGTGAAAGGGCCTCATAAGTGGAATAGCCTAGGGCCTCTTTTCATCTAAATCTGGCCCTGCACTAGACCCGGCTGCTTCCTCTGAAGCTGGCTTTATTCTTGTACTGCCTTGAAGAACTTTTAATTTCAAAATATTTTTAAAAAATAAAAAATAGCCACCCCTAATTTATTGGAGTAATGTGGAGTAGAAAAAAAGGGACAAAACATGGCCTAAAGGGAGTCTCAAATGCCAAGTGATCATTTTTTCCTTTTCACTCTTTTTAGCTTCTGCTAAAACTGACACTTTCTGATGTGGCTTACAAAAATAAAGCACCAGTTGAAGCAGCCCATCTGAGGACCCAGAAGCTGGAAAACGGAGCGATACCCGCTTGGCGAAAAGGGGCCTCCGTTCTTCGACTCAGCGGAGCTCTTCTCACTGGGGCCGAGGCAGGAACTCCCCCCGCCCCGCCCCCCATTCCTCCGGCTTCTGGGTCAGCGCCACCCCTAGCGGGAGCCCAAGAGCAGCGGGGCCACGTCGGCCTTCCCGCTCCCGGTTTCGGAGGGCGGCTTCCACTGCAGGGCTGGAGGGGGCAAACCGGAGCCCCGGCCGCTTCAGGGCCTTTAAGGAAGGGAGCGCGCAGGGCGTCAACGGATCGGCGCAGGCAGAGATGGGGGGGAGGACACCGGTGAGCCGGGCGACCCCTAACGTTGCGCAGCCTTGGCCGGGGCGCCCCCGGGGGCAGCACGCCAGCCCTCGACGGCTCCGCTGCCCAGAGCTTCGGCTTTCCTCGAGGGGGAGCGTCGCGCGGCTTAAGCCGGAGCGAGATCCGGGCGAAGAGCTGCCCTTTTCCTCAGCCCTGCCCGGAAGCCCCGCTTCCAAAGCAGCTTCGGCCGAGGGGAAAGCGCTCCTTTCTCGCCGGGCTCGGCAGAGGGACCGGCGGCCGCTTCTCGCCTGGCGCTGGAGCCTCGGCGCAGGACGGCCACCCCGCCCGCTCCGCTCCGCGCCGGACGCGCGCCAGGGCCACCGGCAGAGGCAGGCGGGGACGGCGGAGGGGCGGAGCGGCGGCCGCTGGGGGTCTCCGCGGGTCCCCGCCCTGGAGGCTCCGCCTCGCCAACCTCCGACCGGCGCAGCCCTGGCCGCCCGGAGAGGCGCCGCAGATCCGCCGCCGTCGCCGCACCATGGCCGAGCCAGAGGGCGCCGTGCAGTGCCGCCTGCAGTACCTGGAGGACGCGGACCCCTTCTGCTGCGCCGCCTTCCCCGAGCCGCGCCGCCCGCCCAGCTCGCCCGTAGCCGAGGCGCTGCCGCTGGCCGCCCAAGTGCCCGCCTTCCTCCGCCTGCTGGGCGCGCCGCTGCGGGTGAGCGCCGGGGGGGAGGCGGGCGGGAGCTCGCGTGGGAAGGCAGCCCGGGGCTCCCTCTGGCAGACGCTGCCCGGCGCAGCTGCTTCCCGGGGTCCCCCCGCCGAGCGACCCAAGCGGAGCGGCGGCCTTCGCCCCAAAGGAGCCGCGCGAGCTGAGCCGTCCCTGCCGGGCTGGCTTGGGCGGCTTCTCTTCTGAGCGGCTCGGGTGACGCGCCCTGTCGCGCCGGTTGCTAAAAACAGCCGGGAACAAACAGGAAAGGCCTTTCCGCCGCGGCTCTTATCGCTGCCCGCTGGCTTTGGGCCGCGGAAGGGCCGGCCGAAGAAATGCTGGGCCGCTGAGACGCCCGCCCGGAGCGTCTGTGAAACGGGGCGAGATCTGGGGAGGGCAGAGGAGCCCCGGCCAAACGCCTGCTGAGCAACTGGCCGTTTCTCTGGCCTCGCCAAATGCGCAGGATGGGGTTAATAATGCAGGCAGAAAATCTCAAGGCTGTGGTACACACCTGTTTGTCGCTTTTCCTTGTTTCAGGTTTAACCTACCCAGAAAAGGTTAGCCTACACATAAGAAGACGGTAGCAGGGAGGCTTGGTTAGAGTTGGGCTGAGTTCCTCGTGGCCACATGGTCACCTGTTCTACCTCTTCACTCAAACTTGAGCCCTTCCATTAATCTTGGATGCTGTCCATCTGGACTTATTCATTGACATCCCTTCCAACTTTCCTCCATCTTGCCAAGTGTAATTGTTTTTGTCCTAGTCCATCGTCCACTCCTTGACGTGCGTGATCTTTTGCATGCTTGGTCCTCTTGGAGAGCAGCCAGGGCATTTGATGGAGGACCAACAGACTGCTTGCAGATCCCAGGTTCTTAGTAGCTTCCACAAAATGAATAATTTGGAAGCATCTTATTGTCTTCCTTTTGGTCATTCTTAGTGCCCCATTTTCATAGTTGGGCTTTCAGAGGCAGGTATTACACTGGAAAGATCATTGCTTTAGTCTGATCTCCGTTGCATTCAGATACTTCAGTCTTTATTGAAACTGGGACAAAATATTTTATATAATCAAAACTGAATGTATGAATAAAACATCCATGATTCTGCATAGGTTTTCCCCTAAAATCTTTATAAAAATCCTTTATAAAATCTTTATTTTTCTACCTCTATTTATTTTTCCATTCCTTTTTGTTCAAGTTGTGTGCCATTTCCATCTCTTCCATAACTTTAAGATAACTAAATATGCCTGTTGATATTTACCTCTATTTTTTAAATATTTTACGTTAACTTGACTTGTTCTACTTCCCATTTTTTACTTTCACAAGTCTTATTTCCTTTCTGTCAACCAAGTGGAAGTGGCTGCATATCTCCAAGTGTTCAGTTTTTAGCTTCCTGACATCATCATCTCCAGTTCTGAGTTATTACACGGTAACATATTTATGGCATATGAGACATGGGGGGGAGCAGCCATTGATGTTCTTCTCTTCTGGCTGACCTTGTCTCTACATTTGTTACAGCAAGCAGGTTTGCTCTCTGCAAAGGTTCTCAGAAGAGCAATCGAGGGGTCTGGTTATACCAGCTCATTCCAATGTATTTCACATTCTGTCATGATTTGCACACCAAAAGTCTTGTGTGCTGTCATTGAGACAAAGATGAATTGTCAGCTTGCACTTCTCAGTAAAACTTTCCCTAGGCCAGACTTCTCCAGACTTATTGATGTAGATCTGTTAGCACTTTAACTGCCTCATCCTCACCATTCAGTTCAGCGTATACTTTATCTGCACCGACATCACTGCTTTATTATATCACTTTTATATATTCATATATATGAATATATAAACATTTATATATTCATATCAGAAATACAAACCTCAGAAAAAAACTGAAAAATATATTTCTAAATGAATCACATATTTATCAAATTTATTAGCTGCCCATCCAATCCCAGGGAACTAGAACAAGTTAAACAAAAATATGGAATAAATGGGAATATTAAAATGCTACAGATCCTCTAAAGTACTTAAAAGCTAGATTACTAAACTGCTCAACTAATAAATGTATGCAGTGCAGAACCAGGATTCTGAGAGGCCACTGGATCTCAGCAGGAAGAAAAGAGGTAACAGTCCACCTGCTAAGTGGGAAAGCACTGGTGCTAATTAATGCTTTCCTATTTAGCAGGTTGTCTGTTACCTCTTTTCCTCCCTTTCCACCGCTGTCACGTTCTCTTTCTACAGATGGAAAAGATTTCAGAGCAATCTTTCCAGCTTTAACTTTGCCTTTTTTGGCTCGTCTGTGTTCACCCTCGAGAATTCTTCCTTTAGTTGTAAATTTCCATTTGATCTCTATTTCCCTTCTTCTCCCGGAAGGGTGCCTGCAAACTCCTGCCTCCCTGCTTGCAGGCCCCGATCCTTTTTTGTTTGGTGCTGGGAAGAAATTCTCCTTCAAATCCTGAAATGGACACAAAAGGAGGGAAGCAGGTGGGAGCCAGGCTGGGCACTGAGGTGCGGGTCTCCTGCCTCCTCCCTTCTGAGCAGCTCCAGTTGGATGGGCAGGGGGCTCTCACCCACCTTAGAGCGCATCTGATGGCCCAGGGATGGTCCAGCACCTGAAGAGGTGAAGTTGAGGGCAGGATCTGGCCCTGCCTCCAAAGGAGCCAGTGTTGGGGGCCAACGCAGGCACCGCCTTTGCCCGTGCTGGGCAAGGGGCCAGGAGGAATCCCAGAGCAGATGCTCCTTGCTGGGCTTACATCCAGATGTACCTCTTTTGCAGCTGGAGGACTGCGCCTTGCAAGTGCTGCCTTCCGGATACTACTTGGACCTGGAACTTTCGCTGCTGGAGCAGAAGGACGATCTGGAAGCATTCTATGAAGACATCAGGTGAATCCCTGCTGGGGGATTTTACCGCCTTTTCCACTTGCAAACTTCTCTCCTGTGTGCCTCATGCTAGCACATCTGGCACTTTTAATCTGGAAGGAGAAGCACATCTCAATTTGGGGCTGTCAGATGTTGCACTCAATGTGTGTGAGGCAAACATGATGCGCTTACCTATTCATGAGGAGGCTCGGTTCATCGTGCATGGTGCCCACACCTGCAGCTCCTTTCTCCTCCCTGGTCCCAGATGCTGGCTGCAGGGGAAGGCCTTGCCGGGCACCCTTCTATTTTTACTTTGGTGGTTTGTTGATCAAATTTTTAAACTGCCTATCTTCCTCACTGAGGGACTTTGGGTAGTGCACAAATAAAATATTAAAATATAAAAACAGTGTTTAGAAATTTAAGAAGAGACAAGAATGAATTAAAAATAATGTTAAAAATTAATTAAAAGGAGAGAAGGGCTTTTCAATGGGCTAACCAGCCTCACAGCTGGGTGTTCCCGTGGGCTCCAGGCCTCAGAGCCACGTGGCTGCCTCACATCTGGGGGGGCAGGATATCCCACCAGATGGGGGCAAATGGCCAAGACGGCCCTGTTCCTGGACCCTCAGTCCAAATCCTTTGGCTGACGGGATCTGCAAAATGCCTTTCCTACCTGACCAGGTGAAATGTACTGATGTGATGAGATGAAGCCGGTTCTATAGGTAGCCTGGCCCCATACCATCTGGGGCTATATAGGTCACAACCAACACCTGGAATTGGACCCGGATGCAGACCGGCACCCATGCAGCAGAGGAGTTACATGCAATGTTTTCTGGATGCTGCCTTCTGTGTCACCAGATGGCAGGCCCTGCTTGTGTGTGGGAGGGTGATCTTGAAGCAGCTGTGGGTGGGGTGGGGGGTTTGGTCCTGACCAGTTTCCTCACTTGGCCTCCTCTTGTTGCAGCAAAGGGAGGCGGCCAATCCTGCTCCTGCGCACGCAGCTCTCGGTCCGAGTGCATGCCATCATCGGTGAGTCCTGCCTGGATCTGGCTGTGCAAGGGCTGCTCTGGAGGGCTCCCCAGGCCCTGGTAAGGCCAGCGGTTGCGCCACCTTTCAGTTATGTTGGTGATCTCGGTGGAAATGTGCACCCTGTGACAGCTGCTGTATGAAAGACCGATCTCCGGCTTGGAATTAACAGGGAAGGAATTAGCAAAAAGTGGTGCAGGAAGAACTGGTATGAATCTGGGGTGAGAAATGGTGGCATGGCAGAATGGGAGGAGGAAACTACCTGGAGGGTGAGCGAGCAACAGAACTGTACCACGGGGGTGGGGAGATGTGGTAAGCGAGGGAAAAGAAGAGGCGGAGTGGAAATCAGTGAGAGAGGCAGCAAAATGGAGCTCCCTTCCCTCCCTCCCTCTCTTGAGTTTGGATTCGGATTCCTTCATGGACAATCCAGGAGCACCAAAAAAGGGCCTCTTTGCACCAGGCAGTCTGCCCTCGGGTGATGAGGCCACCAGGGAAGGTGTTGAGGAGACCAGGCAACCTCAGGGAATTTGGGCTTCTGGAGCTTCTCACTGGTGGGCTGGTTAGATATTTCTGGTTTAGGAGCTTCCCTGGCATCTCTGGTTGGTAAATTGTGGGTGTAAGTCCACGAGGCAGACCAGGCTAAGAAAGTCAGGCTGCAGAGGTCAGAACTCCTTTCATTGTGAAGCTATAAGAGCAGCCTTTTGCAAGTCTGAATGTGCTCCCCCTCCTTTATCTTTATGTGAATGAGGGAGGGGCCTCAGTTGTCTTCTCAAACTGGTTGCTTGGACCAGCTGAAGCCCCGTTTGTCTGGCCAGGTGCCGGAGGTGGCCTTTCCTTGGGGAAATTCCTTCTGCCCACTGTAGTATGAGACAGAATAATTTCTTAGCCCACCTTTCTTCCCGGCTGAACCGAGCAACAGCAACAGCTGATAATTAATGGTAGCATAAATGCTTAGGGGATCTACCAGTCAGTGTGGAGATGAGACCCATCCCTGCCCTGGAGATGCGGTGGAGGCCCACTGCAGGTTGTAGAGTCTGGATTGGGAGGAATCAGTGTCACTGAAGGGGGGCCAGAGGGGCTCTGGGTTTCCAACTCAGGGATTTGCCATCGTTACTTTTGAACAGGTGCAGAGCGCGATCTGGGAGTCCTCCCGGGATTGTGGCTTTTGCTTGAGGAACGGGTGGCAGATGAGGCCAGGGGGGCTTTTGCGCAGCTTTGTCTTGTGCAGCTCAGAACCATCCTTCCCCTCTGCTCTGCCAGCTGCATTGCTGGCCAGTGGGCTTCTGGGTTAGTTCCAGGCCTGGTAATGACCATAGAGCCTTTCACAACATGCAACTGCATTGGGAGGATGCCTTTCCTGGATTGTGTCTGTCCCTCCATCAGATCTGCCAGGAGAGGCGTGCTCAGGTCCCCTTTGGACCCTCCACGGGACGAGGAAGAGAGCTGTTTTGGTCACGGCCTCTGAAAGATCCCTGGGATTAGAGCAGCCCCAGCCTTGTTGGGCCTTGAGGTCCCACTGTGTTACCTGGGCTAGGTGCTGGATTATGTGAGGGAGCTCCTGGGATGTGCAGATTGATGATTCAGGTGGGGTTTTTTTGCTTTTAAATATGTATTGTTATTCTATGGTTTCATCAATAAATGCTTGATGAAAGGGAAGCCGTCTTCCTGCTGCTTCGGACCCCTTCCAAGAGCTCTTGCTCATGCTCTGGGTTTCCCCTGCGGTTTTTGTCCCTGAAAAGGGGAGGGGGGGTCTTCAGACAAAGTGCAGCTGTCAGCAGAGCCACATCCCTGCCACAACCCTTGATCTGAGGGCTCCTCCGTCCCTCCCTCTAGCCAGGCTGAGGGTGTCTTCCTTGGCTGCTTCCTCATGAGTCAGCCTGCGCAGGCCTGGCCGCCTGCCGCATCCTGTTTGGGGGCATGGACCCACATGGCAACTTTCTAAGTAAATTTCCTAAGAGCGGGAGCTGCTGAGGGTCAGGCGCAGAGCAGCGGAAATGCTGAGGGACAGCCCCACATCCCAAGGGCCACGCCAGCCTTGCTGGTCCCAGCAGGAGAGCGGATGGCCCAGCAGAGGGAGGAAAGGAAGCCACAGAAGGGGACTTCCTGAGCTGACCCCACAGTTGGGAGGACTGGCTGAACCAGCTGGGGAAGGATTTGAGGTCTGCAGTCTGGACTGGGAGCACACACACCCCCATGCCCCGGAGGGCTTGGGGCCCAATGGCTGGGAAGCACCAAGGCACTGGTGGCTGCTGGCAAGTCTCTCAGCGCTGGGCAGCTGGGGCTATTTTTAGCTTCTTAGCTTCGGAATGCGCTATCTGGAGCCACATTTGAAGAAGGAAGCGGACGTGTAACTAAATAAAGAATTTAAATAGGGAAAATGAATAACCTCCAGGGAAGGGGTTGCTGGAGGAGACAAGAGAGGCATAATGGGTTGCTTCCCCCTACCCAGAGGAGCCATACTCAGCTCCGACTCTTGCCCTGCCTAGTGAGGGTCTTCCCTGGGCTCCTTCAGGTGGGTCTGCACTCTGGGCAGGCTGGTCCCAGAGGGCCGAAGGGAGCAGAGCGGCTGGGCCCCACACTCTGGGGAGCTACCCCACAGGCGAGCCCTCTCTGGGAGCCTTTGTGGATTCGGGTCCCAACTCACTTTGGGAAAAGGGGCCTGTGGGAAGAAGAAAAGTGGGGAGCCCAGTGCAAATTTTGGGGTTCAATGGCAGCAAAATGCTGGGTTCTTTGTTTTCACACCTTGATAGAAGGAATCTTAGCTCATAAAAGCTTCTGAAATTGTGTTCGTGTGTGCAATTCCTTCAAGAGAGTTTACGCTGCCCCTGCATAACTGCAGGCCTTCCAGACCCCTCACCCCCTTGGGCCAACCAGGGCATTCACCTGGAGAGCCACTCGAAGGTGTGTGTTTGTGTGTTGTGCATGCATTGAGGGGTGTGAAAGGGAGAGCTGGGCTCCCCTTGCTCCTCTTTGGACCTTTGCCCTGATCTCCTCCTTGCTAGTCTTTTAATTCCTCAGCTTCGGGGGGGGGGGGGGGGGGTCCGTGGCTATTGGGATCAGGAAAGGGGGGTGCGCCGAGGGTCAAAGAGCGGCAGCAGTTGTCTGCCTTTGGGGCCTGTGGTGAGCAGGGAGCCCCACAGGCCTTCTGGCTGCACCGGCCTGGCCCGGGGCTCCTTCTGGAGAGGCCAAGCCAGGCGGGTGTTGTGTGAGCAGGAAAAGGAACCAGAACAGGCTGGGCCATTCCTCTTTGGGCAGGAGTCCCTCAAAAGCAGCTCCTTGGGGGCCAGGGCCACAATCAGTTGACGCGTGGAGTGCTGGCACTGCACCGGGGAGTGGAAATCCACTCTGTGATCTCTGTCGGGGATCCTTCAGCTGAGGGTGGTGCTCCGGGCTCAGCTGTGCTGTATCCATTTGGCCTGTCCTTTGGGGTCTGCCTCTGGTGAATGGAGCCAAGCTGTCTGTGTGCCGAGGGCTTCCTGGAGTCCTGCAGAGCTGCCCCACCAGCTTTTCAGGGGGGAGGTGATCCTTGAGGGCCTGCTGCCCTCCTTCCATCCCAGATCTGGGCCTCTCCTGCACCTGGGAAGGGCGTGGCTTCACCTGGGCCGCTGTGCTTGTGCAAGGCCAGGACTTGGGTGCTGTGGCCAGGGAACAGGCAGATGCTTTTCCTGCTCAAAGGGGACAGTGCATCTTCCTGGCCTCAGACACCAGTGGGGGGGTGGCAGCACAAAACTGTGAGGATCAAAGCAGGCCTGGCATCTTAGCTATTTACTGCCAACAGTGGAAACACTCGTGCTCGTCTTTTGCAGCCCAGTTTGGCTGCTGAGTTTCCGGGAGAGAAATGGTCCCATGACGGACCTCTCCTTGCCCGGCAGGAAAAAGGGAGTTCCAGCATCTCCGCCCAGAAGGAGCATCCGGTTGTTTGTGCTGCATCATCTCCTGTTTGGGTTACTGAAACATGCCTGAGGTGGAGTTGCCCTTGGAGACCATCCTGAAGCTGCAACTGGCCCAGTGGCAGCACCCCAATTCTGGGTCACCCCAGAAACCCCACTGCGGCCTGAGCTGCACCAGTTGCTCTCCAGATTGCTCCTCAAGATGCTGGTTATCACCTTTGAAGCCCCACCTGGCCCACAGCAGGCTGCTTCTAGGACTGCCTCTCCCTGAGGGCACCTGCCTGCCCTCCCGGCCCCCTCCCATAAATGTTGCCCCCCCTTCTTGTAGCCAGCTCAGCCCTTTGGAGCAGCCTGCCATTGAAGATTTTTTTTTTTTTTAATTTGATTTATATGCCGCCCTTCTCCGAAGACTCAGGGCGGCTTACAATGTACTCAGTAATAGCCTGATTGAGGGGACCCCCTCCTCTTAGCCTTCCAGGGGGCTGCAAAGACCTGACTCTTCCCACCCATAGTGGGCCAGGAGGGGGTTGAGCTGGGGGGGGGAGGGGGGGCTGCTTGGTCTGGCACCTGAGTGGGGAAGGGTTGGTTTTAACTTGTGTTTTATGTATTGCTGTGAGCAGTCTAGAGCCTTGTCTGAGGTAGACAAGTTCTGTGATTTGTTGAAGAAGCCTTAATAAGTAGGTTTCTCTCTTGCACGAAGTCAAGGAGCAGATCTCGTTGGTTGGGATGCCAGGCCTAAGTGCCCCCTCCAAGTCTTAAGGTTTGGGGGTGGGGAGGGGTTGGTTCAGAACGATACCAGGAAGGTCACCCAGTGGTCCTTCCAGCCTGGGGCGAGAGCAGTTGGGCCTGAGTGGCAGTTTCCTCCCCTCCCACTGTAACTGTTTGCCTTAAGCCCTCCAGTGGTTCGGCTGCCCCCTAACTCTGGGGCAGAGGGGGATCCCATGCCCATAGGGCTTCACCCGCAATCTCCGCATAACAGACCCCCAGTCACTTATGCAGCTGCACTTAATGGCGATGGTCATGTCCTGGGGTTACGGGGTCCCCGTTTACAATCTCCCCAGGAGGCTTCCAGCAAGCAGAGTCAGTGAGGGGACTGGATCATAAAATGGGGTGTGCCGCACTTAGTGACAGACATTCTGGGCCCAATTGTGGTCGCAAGTCGAAGGCTCCCTGTGCATCTTTGCCTTTTAAAGAAAAAATCGTGGCTTATCTTTGGGCAGATCATTACAAGGTGCTCTGCTCAGGTAAATTACCAAATCCCTCTTTAATGACCTCCTTGACTCAAGTTACCGCCAAGGAACAATAATGGGGCCCATCTGTCCACCAGCCCTGAAGGAAGTAGCTTCCAGGGCATCGGCTCGGCTTCCAAATCATCCACACGCAAACAATTCAACTTGGATCTTGGTTGGCTTGTCTTGGGGTAGAAACCAAGGGCCCCAATTCTCCAGAATGGCCGAATTGTGCTGGCTGTGTCTCTGTTAACTTAAAGTCAGCTCTAGTTTTTGCCCCCAGGTCTCCCTGTACTTTCAAGGGGGAGCCCTGCAGAAACTAGCTGAAGACAAGCTGGGCCTCCTGGTTGTGGAAATGCTAGACTAGCAGCTGACTCTTCAAAGGAAGGTCCTGAAAAGCATCCGCAAGGAGGAGAGCCGGGGCTTCCCCCTTGTCCCCCTGGCCAGGGATCCCTGGGATGTTGGGTGTGTGTGAGTGAGATGAGCCCCCTTCCGGAGGCTGACCCCTTTGTCTTCCCCAGAGAAGCTGTACCGTTCCAAGGGTCCGGAGCTGAGGCGTTCCCTCTTCTCCCTCAAGCAGCTTTTCCAGGTGAGGCTCTGCCGCCCGCCCACCCAACATCCCTGCCTGGCTGGAGCCTTGGCGGGAGATGCCAAGGGATGAGGCAGCCCAGCCCAGTGGAGGGAGGGCTTCTGGGGCCTCAGGGGAGTCTTTCAGGTTCTGCATTTCGGCTGCAGGATGACAAGGACCTGGTGCCCGAGTTTGTGAACTCCGAAGGGCTGACGTGTCTTGTCTCAGTGGGAGCCGAAGCTGACCAGAACTACCAGAACTACATCTTGCGAGGTGAGTCTGACCGAGCAGCTGAACTGCCCCAGGGGGCGGCCAGGCCAGGGAGGAAAGGGAACGCTTCCCTGTGTGCCCCGGGCATCCCTCGCCCCTCTTTCTACCTCACTGCCTCCCATAGAGGGAGGAGCAGATGCTCTTGGGGAGGCAGGATCCTGGCTAAATTGGGGGAAAGGGGTCAGAAGCCCCTGGGAGAGAGGAGGGGTTGTCCCTGTGGTTCTCTTCCAGCAATGTCTCTCGGTTGCCCCCTGGTGGAGAACTGAATGAACAACTAGCCACTCAAGGTGGGGGGTGGAAAGAGCCTCAGTCCAGTGGGGAGGACCCTCTGCTGTTTCTGAGAAAGGCTGCTGGATCTCTGCAGCTTTCAGTCTTTCCAGGGCATGTGCCCCCCTCCTGCTCCCCAACACATCCTCTTTTGGGTGCAGTAATAAAGTAGACTTTAGGAGCCTGGTTGAGCAGCAGGGGGGGCTGTCCGATCCACCCCCCCTCCCATGGTCCCCAAGTGTGGGAAGTGCCACCTTCCCCCAGGGACTCTTCTGCGCTTCTCTGCAAACATCTGCAGTGGATTCCTTGGTCGCCCCCCCCCCCACTCCAGCAAGCTATGCATTTGCAGAAGATGGGGCTGCACTCCATGGCCAGTGAGGGGCCAAGGCCCATGGGGAACCTCTGCCTCACAGAGCCAAAGACCCTGAGGTTTTCACCTTTGTTTTGGAAATTAGCCCTTTTTTCACTTGGATGCCCCTGTCCGCCTGGGGGGATAAAGAGGCAGCAGGAAGTGGACGGGGGTGGGCTTCGGGCTGCGTGTTCTGCAGAAGTCTGCTCCCCCAGCAGGCAATGCCCAGCAGTTGAGCAGCCTGGTCCACCCCCTCCCCCCTCGTCCCCCAAGTGCCGCTGGGGCTCCCATGGGACTGCTCTTCTCCTCCCCCCCTTGCAGCTCTCAGCCAGATCATGCTGTTTGTGGACGGAATGATGGGGGTGATCCAGCACCCGGAGACGGTGCGGTGGCTCTACACCCTGACGGGCAGCCTGGTGAGTGAAGATGCCGGCAGCGGACGCTCAGGTTGTCCTTAGCTGTCTCAGGGATGCCCTTGCTTACTACTGGCTTCCAATCCTTCTCTCAGGATCTCCTCATGTGATCCCCTCTCCAGCAGCTCTGGGAGGTGAACTGGGCAAAGAAAGAAGGGTGGCTCAGCTCATCCTGTCTGCTATCTGAGCGGCTGGAGAGCCAAGAGCACCTGCACTTCTGTGGCCGGGCCCTTCAGCCGGCACCTCCAAGGACATTGTCCTGGGAGCAAGGACATCTCCACCTGTCACCTCCACCAAGAGCATCCCTGAACTGGGTGGCCCTCGGGATCATTCAGACCTTGGGCCTTCAGAGCCTTCAGGCAGAATCCCAGCTCCCGGGGCAGTCAGGAGATGAGGGTCAGAGGAGTGAGCTCAGAGAAGACATCAGGGAAAGGTCTCGTCACCTGCTTGAAGCGCTGGGCGTGTATCTCTCCTGCTCACCCCAGCAATGGGCACGGCTGACACGCTTGAAGGTGCCCATCTCTACACCCCTCGAACTGTTGCCAGAGAAGGCTGGCTCGTTTGGCATACGCGGTCTCCCTCTCCTTCCCCTAGTACCGCCTGGTGGTGAAGACGGCCCTGAAGCTGCTCCTGGTCTTTGTGGAGTTCACCGAGTCCAATGCCCAGCTGCTGATCCAGGCTGTGGGGACTGTAGAGCAGGTCAGAGGTGAGCGCAGAGCAGAGCTGCTCACTTGGCAGGTGGCTGAGTCGAGTCGAGCCTGGTGCTTCCTGGTTTCTCCTTGGAAAGGGCCACCCTCTAGTCTCATCAAGCAAACCATTTTTGGTGGCCTCTAAGGACTGCGAGATGCAGGCCATCTCTCTGTGGGAGAAAAAAGAGGGGCCTGGCACATCTCTTGGAACCGAAGACGTTTTGCCTTAAGTGGCGATGAAAGCAGCAGGGGGATCTTCCTCTGTTCCTTACTTGCTGCCTTTCAGGTGGCTTTCCGTGGTCTCGTCTTGTGGCCATCCTGGAGCAGAAGAGCGGGGCTGACACTGAGCTCCAGGTGTTTGCAATGACACTCATCAACAAGGTGAGGGGGGGGGGCAGGACGGGCAGGCGGCACTTCCTGGGGTGGGCGGCTGTGCCCGGCTAATGGTTGTGTCCTGTTGGGGCTTGCAGACGTTGGCTGCCCTCCCTGACCAAGACTCCTTCTACGACATGACAGATTGTCTGGAACAGCAGGGCATGGAGCGGCTCGTCCAGACACACCTGGCCAGCAAGGGCATGGACCCGGACCTGAGGCAGCAACTTGCCCTCTATGAGGTGAGGGCCCATGGAGGGAGGCCCTCAGCAGGTCGTCCCTGGCAACCCTGCTGCCTGCCTGTGCCTGCGCCTGCTTGCTTGCTGACCAGCTCTCTGATCCACAGAATGCCCTGAAGGAGGAGGATGGGGCAGAAGAGCCTCTGCTGGGCACCCGTGCCAAGGAGCGGCGGAGAGGGGACGAGGGCCGGCAGGGGGTCCGGCGCTCCTTCCTCAGTGCTGTGGGCCAGGAGGAGGACAGAGATGTCCCTGCTGCTGCAGATGCCTTTCCCAGCCCTTCGCAGACTCCGGGCCTGGAGGGAGAGAGCTGTGAGCAGCCGTGAGTTGGGCATGGGGCATGGATGGGGGCCCCACTCCATCTGTCTTGGCCACTGGACTCCCCTCCCGCATGTCCTAAGGCTGCCATGCTGGCCGGTGGAACCACTAATCTGGCTCTTGTCGGGGCCCACAAAGCCCCCGCTGGGCCTCCCCGGCAAGTGACCGATCCACTGCAGCTCTTCCCCTCCCTCCCTTCCAGGCCCAGCTCGAAGGGCTCCTACAGCAACACCTCCTGCATGCAACTCTCTGCGCCGCTGGCCCCCGTGGAAGGAGAGCAGCTGGCTGGCCTGGGCGAGAGGAGCATTTTCAAGTAGGTCCCGGCTGGGCGGCCAAGAGGACTGGAGGAGCCTCTGTGAGGGGAGGGACGGTGGGCAGGGGACTTGCAGGTGTGGGAGGCTTGCCCAGAGGTCTTCCTGGGTTTTTCCTAGGCAAGGACTGATCTCTGCAATTAGTCCTTGTCAGCAGATGGAAGGTTCAGGGTGCCTCTCTGTGTGGGGGACACACGGAGCCTCTCTCCCTGGACTCAAGCATATGGTGCTGTGGCAGCCTTGGCCTCTGGCTGCAGGTTGCTGGCACAGCCCAGATGGGAGAGGAAGAGGCTCAGCTCTTGCAACTGGCAGACCGTGGCCACCGGTGGCTAATCTGGCCCTTTCTGTCTCTTGGTGGGGGAGATGGTTCTATCCACCCAGCCTTGGACCGGGGACAAGGCTCCCAGGGTCGGGGAGGATGGCGTGTGATGCACAGAGGCGGCCCCAGAGTCAGCCACTTCCTTCCCAGGCACCTTCTCTGTCTTTTGGGCTGCTTCCCTCTTCACCGGGTTGGCACGCGCCAGAGGACTGTGTGCAGATGACCTCCAGGGTGGGTTGAGAAGCAGGTGGTGGGTGGGTCTGTTCTCTTTCTAGCTGCTCTGAGCTTCTCTCAGCTCTCTTGCTCTCTCCAGCACCTGCCCGGCTTAAATGCTATTTCCTCTTCCAGACTTCACGAAACAGCCTCTGCTTGGTAAGTGATGGCCTGTGTGTGGTGTGCAGTGGTGTAAGTCAGTGAGGGCTTGCGTGTCATGGCTGCCTCTGCTTGATAAACGATGGCTTGTGTGTGGTGGGAAGGTGGGCGGCGTTGAGCCACCCTCCCTGCCAGCAGTGCCAGTTTCTTGGCAAGAAATTCCCTGGTTGGCCTTTGGGGTCGCTTGTGGCTCAGCTGCCCACTCTGGCTGCCAGGAGCCCGAGGCAGCTGCTTGATTGGGCTGGTGTCTTGAGGCCATCAGCTTCCACCCCTCAGAATTAGATGGGAAGGGGGTCCCCACGTCCCATCTGTTCCACAAGGGGGTGCCTCTGCTTTTATCCGGGGAGACCTCCGTTCCTCTTTTGGGTCACCTTTGTTGGAGAATCCAAGCGGTGGGTATCTTGGCATTTCGACTGCGATTCCTTCCAGAAAGTGCCCCCCCCCCCCTCTGCTGCATGTCTCTCTTGCCTTTGGGGCTGACTTGGCCGAGCTTGTGGCATGATGTGGAGGGCCCATTGGCACTAACTCCCTTTTTCTCCCAGGCGAGAGGAAGCCCCCCCGGTATGTGGGGACAAGCCCATTCTGAGGCACTTTGAGTAAGTACGGAGTGGCGTGTGCACCCCTGGCTAGGCTGAAGGTCTGGATGGAGATGGAGCTTGCCTGCCCAGCCAGAGGCTCCTGTTCCCCCCCCCGGTCCTGGGTCCAGGAAGAGTGGCTTGACTGGGATCCATTTCCAGTTCACATTTTGTTAACGTTGCCACTTGCCAGTCTGAGCCCCCCACCCCCACCCGAGTCCCCTCTCTCTGTATGCCGAAATATCCCCCTGGGAGACCTGGCCAGTTTCTGCCACTTGTCTTGAAGCCAGCTTGAGGCATGCCTAGAAAACAGACTCCCTTCCAGCTGGTAGCAAGAGCTTGAAGCCAAAACCGTTTGGGCCAGATGGCTATTCCTTGCCCATGGCTTTGCGTGGAGGGCTGTGCAAACAGGCCACTGGCCGGCCGTGTGAAAGGTTGCTGGTCAGCCAGTGCTTACTTAGGCAGGATGACCTGATAAGACACAGATGTGTATAAAATGGAAAACTTTGATCTGATTCTGAGACCCACCGTTGCATTTTATTTGGGATCTGGACTGCTGTTAGGGCCAGGCTGGTGCATAATGCTTCTCCTTTCCTTTCCTCCTGCACATGGCCTGCGCATGAGCCATTTGCCCAGCATCTTCCCTCCTGTCCACCCGCAAACTCCTCAACTATCTGGTAAATGCCCCTTACCTGTTCATAGGGAGACTCCTAATTAAAAAAAAACCTTGAAAAATAGTGCCTTGACAAACCAGAACTGAAACTCATTTCAAAAGTGAAAGCAAGCAGTCCGTAGGCAGATTTTCTTGCAGCCTTTTCATGAATCTCAGTTGAAGAAAATGGAGCATTTTGCTTTGGTGTATTTAGCTGCCAAGAGCTTGACAAGCCCTCCTTAGTGCCCAGGGTCTCAGGTGGTAACCCCCGTGGGTTTAGCCTCCCCTTAAGTCCTAAACCAGGAGATGGGCTCAATCTCAAAGGATCTTTTTTCTGGATTTCAGGGAAGTTGGGACCCGTGGCTAAAATAGATTCCCTGCCCCTAAGCCATACTAAAACTCCGGGCTTTGTGTGTTGTGCACATGTTGATTTATCATAGAGCAAGCTGGGGATGTGGGGATCGGTCTCTGGAATGAGAGGCAACCATTTAATGTACGGCTTGCAATACCCCAGGCAGTGTCACCAGAGGAGGGAATGGGGTGGGCGAGGCCCAGCATGGCCGACAGAGCTTCTGGCGCAGCTATATGTATTGTAGAAGGCCACATACAGTTGATAAATAAATAAGCAAACCAGGCATTTCTGGAGGAAGAAGTCAGCTACTAGCTCTAGTCTATCTCGGGGGAAGGGGAGCAGCCTGGATCTCCTCTTTCAGTCGGTCTTTTTTTTTTTTTTAATTTGATTTATATGCCGCCCTTCTCCGGAGACTCAGGGCAGCTTACAATGCGTTAAGCAATAGCCTTTATACTTTTGTATATTTATACAAAGTCAGCTTATTGCCCCCACCATCTGGGTCCTCATTTTACCTACCTTAGAAAGGATGGAAACCTTGAGCCTGGTGAGATTCGAACTTACAGTAATTGCAGACAGCTGGTGTTAATCACAATGCTTTTAGTCTGCTGAGCCACGAGGCCCTTGTCTTGGGGATCTGAGGCTCCTAGATTTGAACCCTGACTCCCATCCGGATGGCTTGGCGATCGTTATTTTGGTACAAAGCTCTGAGGGGGATGGAGAGATTCAGCAGGTGTGTTTCAGAACCGGAGCATGAAACGGAGAGCCCTCAATGAGGCTCCCAGGCAGTAGAGCAGGTAGTCAGGGCTGTGAGGAGGGTGTTTGGGGCAACACCCGTGCCCGGGCGGCCTTGCAGGCACACAGCCATGGGCTCCCTCCCAGTCCCTCTTCCCTTCAGGAATCCAGAACATGGATAGCGCATGATGGGTGGGGCTGAGTGATGAGCAGGTGGGCTGCCATGCAAAGGACCAGGCGCCAGTCTGAGGTGAGCAAGACAAACGCAGGTCAGAAGGCAAATGGCCTGAGGCTCCTGCCCAACAGGAGGGTCGCTGGACATTAGGAGGCGTCCGAGCTCCCTTCTCTCTGCTTCAGGCAGAATTGGTGGAGCGAAGGGCTGCGCTTGGCAGGGGGACCCCGTAAAGCTGCCGAGGAAAGAGCGAGAAAAGCTTATGTGAACAAGATTGTGGGTCTCTCTTGCTACTCTCGGTCTCCACATTGGTCCTGGGGCATTCAGTGCGGGGCAGGTGCCGGCCTCTGTGTCTCAAGGAGGAGGAATGTCTTTGAGGAAGACCCCCTCTCCAACGGACCCCTCCCCACCTCTGGCTGGGAGGAATGCCAAGAGCCTCTTCTGAGCAGCCTCGCCAAGGGGCATTCCCTTAGCAGGTCTGTGGGTGTCTGTCCTATGTGCCTGGAGGCAGACGGGCCAGGAGGGCCCGGGTGGGGCTCCCCACTCATGGCCTTAGACCCAGAAGCTCTTTTGGCCTCAGTCACACTGAGCCTTTCGGCAGTGTCGTACCTTCCAGCCGCCTCTGAGAGGTCACCGAGCATCTTTGAGGCCTGAAGCCCTGGGGAAGGGGAATTCAATACTCGGGGGCAGTTGGTTGGATTGGTCCTCTTTACAAAGGAAGGAAAGGCTGCCCGTCCCCACTGCAGCCGGGAGAGGACGGAGGGTGGGTGAAGAGATCTGGGCAGGACAGGGCAGCCCCACAGCAAACCCGAAAATCAGCTGGAGCCACCCGATGGCCAAGGCAGCCCCAATGGAAGCTGCACATCAAGGCACCTCCCATGGCCCACCTGCATGTCTTCAAGTGGGACATTGGAACAGCCCAGCTTTGGAGTGCAGCACCTTGCATCATCCTTTGGCTGCCTCACCTGTGGGAGGACACTCAGGTATCCTTGCATGAGGGCGAGCGGAACAACTGGATTCCCTAAGGCAGGAATTACATCTGAAACAGAGAATCTGTCAGATCCTTGATACTCTTTTCTGTATCTTAACTTGCAGCTTAACTTATTGCTAACCTATATGGGTAACATTTATTTTATTGAGGCCAGCTGAGTTTGTCTATGTGCTTTCATATTATCATAAAGTTATAAGGGACCACAAAGATTATCCAGTCCTGGCTGAATGCAAGATATACTGCACCAACTCTTTTTTTTTTATTGAAAAGTTTTAGAATATTTTTACAAACAAATTCCCCCCACTTCCTCCCCCCCACCCATTCCCTTCTCCCTCCCCCCCCCCGACTTCCCAGAGCAAAATACAGGGTATAGCATTCAGCAAACATAATCAAACATAAACAAACTAACTATAAGCTCTTACCTCCCTCTCACATTTTAACTCCCCCATACATACCAAGATATAGGAATATAAAAGCTCACCTAAATTCATTCATAAGCTATTTGCAACTTTTGAGTCCCATATTTGTTTTGAATATAATCAATCCTCCATTCCAATATGTATCTTTCATTCGAGCGATCCTTCAAATATGCAGAGATTTTAGCCATCTCCACCAAATTAGCTACTTTTAATGTCCATTCTTCAATGGTAGGTACATCTTCCTTCTTCCACTACTGCGCCACCAAAAGTCTGGCTGCAGTTATTAAGTTCAAAATCAAATTAGTCTCTATAACCGTACAGTCTGTAATTATACCCAATAAAAACAACTGAGGAGTAATTTTTATCTTCTTTTTCAGAATATTTTGTATAATCCACCATATCTTAATCCAAAATGCCTTAATTTTTTTACATGTCCACCATATATGATAATACGTTGCATCATCACATTTACATCTCCAGCACGTAGATTGTAGGGTTGGATAAATACAAGCTAACGTTTTGGGATCTAAATGCCATCTATAAAACATTTTGTAAAAAATTTCAAGTTTTGGGCTTGAGTAAATTTTACATTTCTGACCCATATTTTTTCCCATGTTTGGTTCCTCGATATTTTGTGCCCATTTTATCATACAGTCCATCACTAGCTCAGTTTCTGAATCTATTTCTATCAATGCATTATACAACCTTTTAATATGCATTGGACTTTGATCCCTAATTTGTTTTATCTAAGCCCACCGTATTATGTGGCCGTCTGTTCCACTGCCAGACAACTTGTGAATTCAGGAAGTTCTCCTGATGTCCAGGATGGACCTCATTCCTCGCAGCTTTCACCCCTTGGCTCTGATCCTGTTCTCTGGGGCAAGAGAAAATACACTCACTCTCCCTTTGGTGCCACAAAGGGCTCCTACTATCTCTTTCCTGCTGTCTTCTCTGTAGGCTGAAGGGAGCAAGATCCTTCCTACTGTCTTCCTGGGATTAGCATCATGGTGGCCTCCTCTGGGCTCACTTAACTCGTCATTGTCCTTATGCCCACAACTGGACATAGCCCTCCTGATCATGATCCTTGGGTGGCATTTGCCTCTTTCGCAGCTACGAGGCGCTGCTGGCCTCTGTTTAACATGGGGTCACCAGAGACACCCAAGCCCCTTTTACCTGTACTTCTCTTAAGGCAGGTCTCTCCTGGTCTTGTGCCTTATGTTTCTCCTCCCCAGATGGAGAATTTTATATTTTTCCCATTAAAATTCCATCCTATCAGCTTCACCCCTACTCAAGCCTCTTTGGATCTTTTTGAACCCTTAAACATCCCTCTATCTACAGAATTACCCGCCCACTCTGCTTTGTACCCTGGGGAGACTTTGAGGTCTCCTTGACTCTCTCATCCAAGTCTTTGATAACCAGAGCCCTCTGATGTGCTGGGCAATGATTCCTTCCCAGCAGAGTCCATGAATGAAAGCTCTTTCAATGCTGTGGTGTAGCTCCAGGGGTCACAGACTTCCTTTAAACCTGTATTAGTATAAGTGGCTACAGGAGGGAGATTCCTCTGCCTTGGGGGATAGGTTGGCCTTGGATTGGTCATCCCTTGGAAAAACAGGGGAGTCTTGCTCCTCAAAACAGGCCTGTTTGTAGCATCTGACTTTGGAGGGTGTTCCTTTGTAAATTTTCATAGGAAGTCAAGAGGGGCGGGCAGGATTTGCCCGGCCCTCTCTCGCTCGGCGACTGCATGTATGACTGGTAAGAGAGCTCATGGTTGACACTGTCCTCTGGACACAATGGTGACGGTGTCCCCAATGCAGTGGTGTGGAGTGTCCTCTTCTCTTGCAGAGCCCGTTTTTTAGAAAACCTGGCTGCCTCTCAGAAAGAGAAGATCAGTGCCATCACCCGTGGGCGAGCAGAAGTTCTTGCTGAAGCTGTTTCAAGCACTGAGCAAGTGGCCCCAGGTAGTGTGGCGGGGTGCAGGGGGAGCCTCGTTTGTGGCACAGCGTGTCCCTTCCTTGGTTCAATTCTCTTCTGCTTGGCCTTTTCCCCTTTAAGTGCCCCTTTCTGCCACAGGGAGGCAGAGTGAAGGAGAAAACGGAAACACCAACTGGAAAGAGCCCAGCTCAGAGCCTGGTTTGGATCACGAGGAGAGCAGGGAGAACGTGTCCCCCAAGGATGCCTCTCTAAGCCACCTCTTTGACACCTCCTGCATCTTGGGCCCAGACCCAGAATGTGCCCCGGGTGGCATTAGTGGGGCTCTTGAGAGCAGCAATGCTTCTGTGAAGAGAAAACTGATGCTTGACATTCTGTTCGCTAATAAGAGCCTGCCAGGCACGGAGAGGACGCTGCTCACAGATCAATGCATGGAAGAAACGAGGAAGATGGGGCACCAGGAAGAGGAGAGCCAGGAGAAGATGGGGCAACAGACAGAATCTTGGGCCCTCCCCTTGCAAAGCCAGTTCAGTGTTGAAGCTGAAATCAGTCTGAAGAATCTGGACAGGGCCCAGGTAATGAGAAGTCCACTGGTGCTTGGTTCTCAACCTCTGAAGATCCAGGATCTGGACTTCTCAGACCTGTGTGAGGAGGAAGATTTTGACGTACAAGAAGCAAAGGTGGCCAAGACGGCCTTGCCCCACATGGCTTTCGGGGCAGGTGAGGACCCGGCTCCTCCTCTGATTCCCGGTTGTGCTCCACCTCCTCCGGCTCCTCCTCCCCCAGCTGGCATACCTAGTCCACCACCTCCCCCTCCATTTGGCAGCCCCCTTCTTGTTGGAGAAGCCAGCTCCCCTGCCAAGAAAAAGAAGACCGTCAAGCTCTTCTGGAGGGAGCTGAAAGACATAGATGGCCCTGCCTGGAAAAGTCGGTTTGGGCAAGTTACTCTGTGGGCATCCCTGGAGAAGGTCAAGGTTGACTCCGCTAAGCTGGAACATCTCTTTGAGTCCAGGGCAAAGGAGGCTCCGAGTTCCAAGGTAAGTTGCTGCATGAGGTTCATGGCGTATCAAAGCTTTCCTCTGGCTGAAACAACATAGAACATAAAATAGCAGAATTGGAAGGGATCTTGGAGGTCTCCAGTCCAAACCCTTGCTCAAGCAGGAGACCCTATACCATTCTGGACAAATGGTTGTCCAACCTCATCTTGAAAACCTCCAGTGACGGAGCACCTACAGCCTCTGAAGGAAAGTGATTCCACTGGTTAATTGTTCTCATCATCAGGAAATCTCTCCTTAGTTCTAGGTTGGATCTCTCCTTGATAATTTTCCATTCATTGCTCGTCTTGCCTTCTGGTGCTTTAGGTTGACCTCCCCTGTGACAGTCCCTCAAATATTAGAAGACTATACCATGTTGCCGCAATCTTTCTCTTTGTTAGACTAGACCTATCTTGTTGGATAGAGCCCAATGCTCCTATGTATCAGATCCTATCTTTTAAAGCATTGGCTATTCCCCCTAGCTTGGTGTCATCTGCAAATTGGGTGACTTCCCCTCCCCTAATCTAGATCATTTATGAAAACGTTGAAGAGTACTGGGGCTAAGACAGAATCTTGAGAACAGCAGCTGTCCTGACATCATTTTCCATTTTGGAGATGTGAGCTGCTCCTCATCTTCAGCTTTCTCCTATGGCCATTCCATGGGCTCAAAATGCAAGAGCAAAAGAAACTGCTCTTCCCCCCTCCCTTCCCTTCCCTGCCTGGCACAGCAGCTTCCCACCAGTCCTTGGGCTCACTGCCCACAGGGGTTCTGTGTAGAGATCTTTGCAGATCTTTGGGCTGCTGTGCTTTTGAGCTGCAGATAGACCAGACCTCTTCTGATCTAGGTGGTCCTTGTTTGGGTCGGGCCATGGAAAGGTTTCTTTCTCTTGCTCCGGGCATTTGGGCATAAATGGTGGTGTTGATAAAGAAGTAGAGCAGCTGTAGTACAGGGTGACGTGTGCCTCAGCCTGGCAGAGGCTTCCCTTTTAAACTTCAGGGCTTCGCTTGTCCTGGGCTCAGCTCTGCATCCTCAGGAGCCTCTGAGTTTCTTGGCTTATAATGGTGGAGTTTGCAAAAACTTATCTGGGTTCTCTTTCTTACAGGGGACTTATCAAAACAAATATGGACAAAGATGCCCCTGGATCCTGTGTTTCATCTGTTCCAATCCTGCTGTTCTCCTTTTAGAAAGCTGTGGACGGAAGGAAGCTGATTGTGATCCTGGATCCCAAGAGGAGCAATGCCATCAATATTGGCTTGACAGTGTTGCCTCCCATCCATGTCATCAAGACAGCCATTCTCAACTTTGATGAGTTTGCAATCAATAAGGAAGGGATTGAGGTGAGAAGGGATTTCCTGGGGTACCTTTGGATGGGTGTCCTCAGTGCTTCAGAAACCTTCTATGCAGGAGAACATCAGGAGCCTCTGATGGATCTGAAGGAGGTTTTGACTAACCTTAGTCCCTCTGGCTTTTTTGTTTAACCAGAAAATATTGACAATGGTTCCCACGGAGGAGGAGAAGCAGAAGATCCAGGAGGCCCAACTGGCAAACCCAAATCTCCCTCTGGGGTCAGCTGAGCAATTCCTGCTCACGCTCTCCTCCATCACAGAGCTCCCTGCTCGCCTCCAGTTGTGGGCTTTCAAGTTGGACTACGAAGCCCTGGAGAAGGTACTTGTGCAGGTCCTAGATTGTCCAGGAGGAAAGGGGTGCACAGCTGGGCTTCAGGGCAACCCCCCTCTGCTAGGTTGTATGAAGAATCTGCTGGTTAGTAAGGAAGGGCAAGTCCAGGTATCAATCTGGCAATTGAGCGTCCCTATTAATAGGAGGCATTCGTGTGGCATTGCTGTCTGCTGTAATTGGTAGGTTTAGAGACAGGGATGTCACTCCATGCCTTGAGCGTCTGACCAGATCAGTGGTGGGTTGCCCCTGGTTCGCACCAGTTCTATAGAACCGGTAGTAAAACTGGCGGGAGGCTCCACCCATCAACCCCAACATCATCAAAATGCTTCTGCGCATGCGCAGAAGAGCACGTGCGCGCCCCCATTGAAAACCAGTAGTAAAGGTAAGTAGAACCCACCCCTGGACCAGATGGTTCTCTTCTGAATCTTCCCTCTCCTTCCCTTCAGGGTTTCCCCTTCCGGGAGGGTTTTGTTACCTTATTTATTTTATTGATCATATGTATTTGCTGCCCATCCTGAGATTCAGAAGACTTTGAAGTGTAATCCTTCTTTATTTTCTTCTCTTCAGGAAATTGTAGAGCCTCTGTTCGATCTGAAGCTGGGCATGGAGCAACTAGCCAAAAATCAGACCTTCAGGTGTATTCTGGCCACCCTTCTAGCCATGGGCAATCTTCTGAACGGCTCCCAGGTGAAGAATGACATGGCTGCCTTTTAGGAAAGTCTCGTGCCTGGTGTCAGACCTGCCCCAGTCTGATCACCTAGGAAAGTAAAACTCTCGACTCCATTTACTTGAAGTGGAAAGGCACTTTTACTAGGAGACACTGATTGCAGTAAAGTCAACCGGAATCTAAAATCTAAACCCCTAGCTTACCCTAGCCCTGCCCCCCCCCCCCCATGATCCGCCCATGTGTAGCCAATCCGGCACTGCTGAGATGTTTGTGCTGATGAAATTCCACTCTCAGGGTATACAACCTTGAAGACGTCAGCACTAGCATGAACTGGATGCCAAACCTCTCTGTTCTTCCTCACATGTCAATTCTCCCTTCCAATTTCCCATCATAAAGGTATACAGCTTTATTGCCCACTTATTCCCCCCTCCCTTCTCCGATTGATGGCAGAACGCCAGCAAGGCACCAAGCTGAAGGTGGTGGATGTGACACCTGGCCCTGCCCAAGGCCAAGGCATTGGATCAGAGTGTACCTGGAGATGACCAAAGCACACCATTTCCCGCCTTTTTCCCTGATCTGCTCTAGTGAAGTCTCTGGGATTGGGAGCTGGTTTCTAAAATGGGACACTAGACCAAAGCCTGCCCAGATGTCCCTCCTACAGCCTGCTCCTTAGAGTCCTTTTTAAAGTCCTTTTAACACATCCAGGCTCAAAATAGGACCATCTGAGGGCCACCCAGGACAGAACTTCTGCTCTTTGTGGACTGTCTCTGGACCTGCTTTCCCTCCACCACAGGAGGAAAGAACCTCTTCTCTTCCTGGAACTTACAAGGTTCTGCATTTCAGAGTCGAGGGTTTGAGCTCAGCTACTTGGCCAAAGTGTCGGAGGTAAAAGACACCGTCCACCGGCAGAGCCTCCTGCACCACCTGTGCCACTTTGTGGTGGTGGAGTTCCCAGCCACCACAGACCTCTACTCGGAGATCGCTGCCCTCACTCGCTGTGCCAAGGTGAAGGGAGGCTGAGTTTGGGTGCTGAGGTCCAGCCCAAATCCCACGGGTGGCACATCTACAGCTCTTGTCTTATCTCCTCAGGTGGATTTTGAGGAGCTGGCAGAAAGTCTCCTGCAGCTGGAGCAGCGGTGCAAAGCCTCCTGGGAGCACCTGAAGGCCATCGCAAAACACGAGTGCAAGCCAGCACTCAAGAGCAAGCTGCTGGATTTTCTGCAGGCCAGCACAGAGAAGATGGGTCTCCTTAAGATCGTCCACCGGCGGGTGTTGAACAGGTCAGTGTCTCTAGATGGTCTAACTGCTGCCATCCCTCCAACCAGGAATACCATTTATTCTATATTAAATAGTATTCGGTGTCCTCCCTCTCGTTCATTCCCACAGATAATCTGTCCATCTCTGCACATTTGAATATTTTTTTTATTATGATTTGATCTGGAGAGATGTCTGATTGTTTCCAATATTGTGCTATCACAATTCTACTTGCCATTAGTATGTGTAATATGATATATTGTATACTTTTCTGCATTTTCCCTTCCAGAATACCCAGGAGAAACAATTCCAGCTTTCTTTCTATCTTCTGCCCTCTTATTTCATCCAGCCATTTTTTAAATTTTTTTTTATTGAAAAAGTTTTTCAAATACAGATTTCCCCCCTTTTCCCCCCCTCCTCCTCCCTAACCCCCCCTCCCCCTCCCCTCCCCCCATGGCTTCTCCAAAAATAAAATCCAGATTGATATCAAATTATATAATACTTTACCATCCTTTTTACACCTCCCCCCACATGCTAACCATTTCTTTCTAACATGGTTATTATATCCCCCCTATACTATACATTTCAAAGCAACCTTCAGCTATAAAACTATATAACAAATCCTAATTTGGCATTTATTCAACTCATAATCTACCCATTTCCTCCACCCCCATACATATATCTCTTAAATCAAATATTTTACGTATATTTATATATAAACATAACATCCCTTTTCCTAAACTAAACAATCAGTAACCTAACCTATCTCCACCCATTTTCCTACAGGTCTACCATACATATTATTTTTAATATCTTTGTTCTTCTGCCCACACTACACAACTAAAAAATATTTCCATATATAAATAAAATCCTCAAATGACTTTAAATTTGTAATCCATATAGTATCTTCTGTAATGTCTTTCAACTGGATTATTAATTCCATCGCCCATGTTAGGGTAACATCAGGTTCAGCTTCCAACAGTATATTCAGTATCTTCCATTACCATCTGCCCCCATCAATAATAAGTATTTTCATATATAAAAAACCACCCGAGTGACTTCATATTTATATTCCATGTAGTATCTTCTGTAGTGTCCTTTGTCTAGATTATTAGTTCCAACCACCACATTGGGGTAACAACCAGATCTTCTGCATGCCCCAATCCCATTGTTCTCTTGCCTTATAACTCAGCATATACGTAATCCATTTTTCAAAGAGTCCAAAATAGAAAGTTCCAGTCCACTCAATCAGAGGCCATCTTTCACATCCCAAAAGCACCAGCACTGCAGAGATCTGTTATTCTTCTCAAAATAGTATAAGTCAATAATTTGCCTGAGCTATATTTTCATGTATCAGCCGTCTATAAATCCCGCTTATTATATTTAATCGTCTCTTAAGTAACTGGCATTAGACTGTTGTTTAGTTTAAATTTTTTTAGTTTTGTAGGACCTGCTTCTTCTTTTCTTAACTTTTTGTGGTTTAGATCTCCATCCTAGTTGCCTTTCTATAACTTGTATATCAGCTGATTGAGTTCCATGCTGGTCTGTAACTTGATAAGACATCACATTAAAATCCAAAGCCGCCTCTCTTATATTTATAGGTAATCCAACTAAAACCTCTGAAGGAGAATCCAAAAGCGGCTCATCCAAAAGGGCCTCTGTAACTTGTTGTTTTTCCATTACCTCCATCTCCATCTGCTTAGCCTGAGTTTCAATCTCTTGTTCATTTTCCTTTTCTTTATTCCCCTCCTGTGTTCCTAACACTGATGGCGTACGTGGAGATGTTGGATCCATTTTAAAAACCTTGTAGTAAAATTCTTCCGCTTTTTCAACAGTATTTAGTTGATATCTTTCTCCTTGATATCTCAATATTATACCAACTGGAGCATCCCATCTAAATGGGATGTTTTGTTTCTTTAGCTCAGTCACCAAAAATCCAAATTCCTTTCTATCTTTTAACATCTTGGACAGCAGCTCTTTATATATCCAAATCTTCCTTCCATTCATTTCTAGAGTGGAGTTAAAAGACTTTTGCACAATATCATTTCTTATTCCTTTATCAGTAAAGTAAATCACCACGTCTCTAGGCAACTGCCTTTGCTTTGCAACCCAAGAATTTACTCTGTAGGCCTTATCAATCTTACAGGATACCTCTTCAGGACTAACCTTTAAAATCACAGCCAGAACTTCAGCAGACATCTTTCTCAAATCATCTCTGTTGTTTTCCTGTATTCCCCTCATTCTGACCGCAAATTCCATGGACCTATATTGCATCATTGTAACTTCTTTTTCAATTCTTTGTTTTATATTATATGCATTGTAAGTCTTGTGGTCAGCTTCCTTTATTTTAGGCTTTACTTCTGAGCTATTTTCTTGAATATTTATCAAATCATTTTCAATTCTTCGTATTTTATTGTCCAGATTATAAATCTTATAATCAGCTTCCTTCATTTTAGACTCTAATTCTAAGTTGGTGTCTTTATCCATCTTTATAACTATTTCTGAAAAACTTTTCAAAGCTGTTACAATCTGTTGTTTCAGATTATCATACTTTCGTTGTACCAACTCTTTAATTTCCTGCCTGAATTTTTCAAGATTCTGGTTCACAATCTCATCATGTCTTGCCATCTCCTCCAAAACAAATTCCTTTAGGTCTTTAAAGCCATTCTTCTGAATCTGCAAGCTCAAAGCTTGCTCATATGATTTGTAAATGGGGGAAACCCCCCCCCCCCGCAGCTTGGTTGTCTGGCTTTGTCAGTTTTAACGCCATCCTGCCACACAAACAAACTCTTTTTTTTTTTTAAAGGCTTTTCTCCAAACAATATCAATATCAAGTCTCTAAGAAGGAAGAAACATGAAATAGAAATTTTTCTCTTCAATTCTAGCCAGCGCTGTTATTTCAGATACTTTGTAGTGTATTAAACTATTCAAACGGAAGGACTTTCGCTTTCAGCTTTCTTCTTCTCAAGCCTCAGCCAGTCGCCCTTTTAAACTTTCTTTCTTTGCTTTTAAAATCAATCATAAAATTGTTAGAAATACTTGCAATTTAGGGTCCCAAATCCAGGTTTCATCCTATTTGTTCAGGCAATCTGTTAGATTTCGTTGATTGGATTGGTCCCATCGCCTGGCTCTGCAAAAGGCAGAGTTCCCCCGACGCCCGGAGCAGCGGCGAGCTGAATAGGGAGCCACATTCTGCTTCCTCCCCAAGAGTAAAAAAAAACTCTGGGGAGTTCGCAGAGGGCTCTACCTGCGCTCGCCGGCTCTCTCTCACGTCTCCTCAAGGAGACGGAGTTTTTCGAGCCGTCTCTCAGCTGTAGAGACGGCTCTTTACGGGCGACGAGGCTGGCAGTCCCAAAAGACCGTCTGGCGGCGGCGGAAACCAAACCGGAAGCCTCCATCCAGCCATTTTTTAATCTTGTCCCAAAATTTCCTAATCTTAGGACAAGTCCACCACATGTGGTAGAATGTCCCTTGTTTGTGTCCACACCCCCAACAATTCAAAGACCTATTCAAGAACATTCTGGCCAATCTCACTGGTGGCAAATGCCATTGGTAGAACATTTTGTAAAGATTTTCTTTATAAGCAGCTGACATCGTTAGTTTGTAATTTCTCTCCCATAATTAATTTAATTTAATTTAATATTTAAATTTATATACCCCCCTTCTCCCGAAGGACTCAGGGCGGTGAATAGCCATAGATAAAAAACATAGAATACAAAATTTAAAAGCAATTTAAAACTATAAGCAATTTGGCCCGACAGTTAAAATCCCCCATTTAAAATTCAAATTAAAATTACACCATTGGAGAGTTAGGCCAGCCCAGCTTGATGAAATAAAAAAGTTTTAAGGGCCCGACGGAAAGTACGTAGATCTGGAATCATCCGTATCTCCAGGGGGAGCTCGTTCCAGAGGGCAAGTGCTCCCACAGAGAAAGCTCTCCCCTTGGGGGCTGTCAGTCAACATTGTTTGGCCAATGGCACCCGGAGGAGCCCCTCTCTGTGGGAGCGTACTGGCCAGTGGGAGGCTCTCAGTAGCAGAAGGCGGTCTCATAAATATCCAGGTCCTAAGCCATGGAGCGCTCTAAAGGTGGTCACCAACATCTTTTTTTTTTATTATTATTATTAAAATATAAACACAGATATAAAGACAATACAATACAATACAATACAAAGACAAACAAAAAACCCACCACCTACAAACCCACCTAACATTTTACATTTACGCTTTTGTCATCAACAGAATATATGTCATTGAGCTTATATAGTTTAATAAAGAGTAATTATTAAATGTTTAATTCCAATGTTATAACTTCACTACAAATTTACATTTCTTATGGGTTCATCTCCTTGTGAAAGTCTTTACCCTAATTTCTGTCCTCTACATTTTTGCTGATTTTCCTTTCCAGCCATTGATACCATTGGTGCCATACAAGATAGTATTCGCTTTCTTCCTTTTCCTGGAGTTCCAGCGTCAATCTGTCCATTTCAGCACACTCTGTTATCTTTGCAACGATTTTGTCTTTGGATGGGAGTTGGTCTGATTTCCAGTTTTGCGCGAACAGTAGTCTTGCTGCTGTCAAGATATGTATGATGAGATATTTCGTTTCCTTAAGATGTTGTGCCGTTATCATGCCAAATAGAAAAAATTCTGGACTGTTTTGGTCACCAACATCTTGAATTGCCCCCGGAGGACCACCGGGAGCCAGTGCAGCTCACACAGGAGAGGTGTTACATGGGAGCACCATGACGCTCCCATAATCACCCGCGCGGCCGCATTCTGGACCAGTTGGAGCCTCCAGGTGCTCTTCAAGGGGAGCCCCATATAGAGAGCGTTACAGTAGTCCAGGCGGGAAGTGACGAGAGCATGAGCGACCGTGTGCAAGGAGTCCTGATCCAGAAAGGGACGCAACTGGCGAATCAGGCGAACCTGATAGAAAGCCCCCCTGGCCACGGCCGTCACATGTTCTTCTAAAGACAGCCGTGCATCCAGGAGGACACCCAAGTTGCGAGCCCTCTCTGTGGGAGCC